CTAATTTCTCCGTAATTTGTCATATCCTTTTATTGGTTTGTTTTATTACCATTGAAGAGTCATGTCTTTCTAACTCTTCTTGTCCCATCTCAGCTGTTTGTTTTATTATCATTGAATAATCAAGTTTTACTAACTACTCTTGTTCCGCGTTACTTGTTTATTTTTATTACAAACAAAATTGAGGGGTCATGTCCTAGTGAGAAGTCTTGCTCCAATTAAACTGATTGTAGTATCTTAGTTACTTTTCAAATTATAATTATTCATTCACAACTAGAAAATTGGTTGATCATCTTACGTCCATGTGTTTCCATTGCTATAAACACATACATTTTTTTTAATCCATGATCAAACAAGCACACAAATTTCATGCAAGTTTTAAACAAGCACACAAATTTCATGCAAGTTCTTGATGTTGATCAGTAAGAGAGGTATTTGATCAAGGAATTGACAATTTCATCTCAAAATACTTTTTAAATACAGTGCTTTCCCAATTAACTACACCATAGATTGCACCTCAAAATGAAATTGAATGTATCTTGGATGCCATGGGTGATAGAGAAAGGGAGAACGAACATATTTAAATGTTTAGGATTACTTCGTAGTTAATTCAGTAAATAACGAGAAACAACTCCATTAGAACAAACTATTGCAACATGAAAAAGGTACTCTGAGGGGATCAATATTTCCGGCGACAAAGAGAATTGATTTAACTTAACATGGTACTACGGGCAAAATAAATACATGTAAATAAACATATTCCTTTAAGATTATAGACACTTATACAACTTCGACAACAATGGTATAACCATTTTACAAATTGCTTATCATCATAAGCCATTTCCTCAACTAACTCGTATAGTCACTAGTACTTGACATTGTCTACAGCACCAAACGAGGATATTTGTGATTTTCAACTTGAAATAATCACATGAAAAAAAAAATTAGAATTTACACAGCCTATGTATGTTCATGTGATCCAAAAGAAAGTTTTAGAGCTCAAAAGTCCGTTTGCCTTCTTGTCTGGGAGTCTTGCTCAGTCCATCTTCGGCTTTCTTCCCACAACTGGTTTTCCAACCCTAACTTCCGGAGCTCCATAAGCCCTCGCTCAACTATAAAAAAAGAAACAGGCAAAAGACATAATTAAGGGAATGAAGCTGACAGAATAACATATAGAGCTTGATCAATGTGCTTAATGACTATGATGACACATATGAAATCAGGACAAGCATGGCTATCCACAAAAATCAGGCAGACAAATCTGAGACATTAAAGACAAAGAATCCAAATACTACGTAGTAATGATGTACAAGTATGACTTTGTAGCGGTTGTTAGTGCAGAAACTTGAACCTGGAGAAAAAAAAAAATTCTCAAAGGCCAAGAATAAAGTACAGTATTAGAAAGGTTTTGCAGCAGAAATTATGCTTGGCTGCGGTCGTGCTTACAAACACAAAAAAAACTTTGTCACAAAGAAAGTACCGTCTGAAATAAACATGATAATTAACAGTTTGAACGAATCGTAAACTCCTGCAGCTATATATGATTACAAGATTTGTTCATTGGCATAAACAAAATACACCTCTTCTAAGTACTACTGTCAGCAATGGTGAATACAATCAGCAACAATCAATTAGTTGAGCATGCAATAGAATGGTAAACGAAATATAATTTATGAGTGAAACTCAACCAGTATGCATTTACTAGACATCATCAAAGAGGACTGTACAAAATTATAAGATGGACATAATGAGAATTATACTTATGACGATTTTTAATCTCTTAAAGTATTAGAACTTTTCGATCTTTTCAATCTTTCTCTCTCTAGGATTCTAGTGCGTGTTTAGGGCGATCACTATCATGCACTGATCTTCATAGATGGGTAGGAAGAAGAAATCAAATTCATCTCATACTTCGGGAATGAGTGGATCATCATCATTAGGTATTCCTAGTAGCTCTGGTATTAGATCTGGTGGAAATGTTGGACCAAGTTCTGTTTTTGCTGATGATGGTGCGGGTGGACGGGTTGAGCTTGTTCGATCTCCATTAGTGCATGCAAGTGTTGGACTCATTACTAGAGAGGAGCACGACCTTATGACAGAGCAGAATCGGGTTCTAGGTCTTCCGGTGCTGAACAGTGTATCCAATGGAACAGTGAATGTAGGGTGTAGGGTTTACTGGATCTGGATCTGATCTTGCTCCTGTAATTGAAGATGAAACTCACCATTTGAATGCGATGGGTGAAGTTACTAACATAGATGGAGTTGCGAAGGATAAGGAAGTAAGGACAGATAGGCAAGTGCAGCGACGTCTTGATATGGAAAGGGCTGGGAAGAATGCTTGGTCAAGTTTCTTTCAGCGCTCCCCTTTGACAAGCAAGGGTGTTTCTCTGCAATTTGTTGCTCCGATAGTGAAAGAGGGGAAAAAGGTGGCGCAAATGCAGAAAGCTGAGATTGAAGCGATGAATGCTAAGTGGATTGCCTCAATCATCATGTATGTGGTGGGTGATACTCCTACTCTCTCTGCAGTCAAAAGGTACATTAGCTCTATTTGGAATCAAGTTCAAATGCCTAATGTTTTCTTGCATGATGATGGTTATTTTGTAGTGCAATTTTGTTCTATTGAAGATAGAAATATAATTTTAACTGGGGGTCCTTATAATTTCTTGAATAAGCCTTTGATTATTAAGCCCTGGTCATCTGATTTTAACTTCTATGAGGAAATTCTGAAGGTTATACCTCTCTGGGTTAAACTTCCAAACCTTCCCTTAAACTGATGGAATGCTGATTCTTTGAGTAGGATTGCTAGCACTTTAGGTGTTCCTTTATTTGCTGATGACTGTACAACTAGGCAGCAGAGAGTCTCTTTTGCTCGTATTTTGGTTGAAATGGATGTCACTATGGCTCTACCTGATCATGTCTGGATTGAGGATGAATTAGGGGTTGAGTTTAAGCAAAAGGTGATATATGACTGGAAGCCTTCTTACTGTAAAAAATGCCAAATGCCTGGGCATGATCTGCTTCTGGCAAATTCATTAAGCCTCCTGTAAATGAGAAACAACCTCAAAAGAAAATGTGGGTGCCTAAAAAAGTGCAACCTCAGCCTGTTGTGCAACCAATTCAGCAGAATCAGTCTGCTCCTGTTACTACTCCAGAACATCAAACTATTGCCAGCACTCAATCAGGTGCTGATGCTGATACATTTGCTCAGGATATACCTGGGGACCCTCCTGATGTTTAATGTTAAGTCTTTGTACTTGGAATGTAAGAGGTCTTAATGACCCTGCTAAGGTTTCTGAGGTGAGGAAGTTAATTCAAACTCATAATATTAAAGTTATAGCTCTTTTTGAAACTAGAATAAAACCTCATAATTGTAATAAATACATAAATAAGTTTGGAAGACATTGGCATTGGGAGATGAATTACTCTTATTGCAATAGGGGCAGGATTTGGCTAGGCTGGCAACCTAATGATGTGACTGTTTCTCTTTGTTCTGTTTCTGCTCAAGCTATGCACTGTGAGATTACTGATCATGTTGCTGGTGAATCTTTCTTTTTCTCTGCTATTTATGGGTTTCATTCTATTGATACTAGGAAACCTTTATGGTCTAATCTGGCTAATTTTTCTCATTCTGTGGGAAGACATCCTTGGATGATTTCTGGTGACTTCAATACTATGCTAAATCTCTCTGACAGGATAATGGTTCTGATGTTTCTTTGCATGAGATCCAGGATTTCTCTAATTTTGTGGCTGATCATGGTTTTACTGCTCTTAATAGCATTGGTCATTATTTCTCTTGGCATAAGGGTGGTGGTAGCTCTAGTACTGCTAGTAGAATTGACTGGTGTTTAGGAAACTCTGAATGGATGATGAATAAAGGTGATATTGTTGCTGAATACCTGAATCCTTCTACTTCTGATCACAGTCCAATTTTGATCTCTTGTATTGAGAATGTTCTGGGTGGGGGCAGGTCTTTCAAATTCTTTGATTTCTTGGCAGATCACTCTAGCTTTATTCCTATTGTTGAGAAATGCTGCAAGTTTACAATGAAAGGCACTGTTATGTTTTCTTTTCGGTTAAGGTTGAAGCTCATTAAGGAGAAACTCAAAGTTTTGCATAGAGAGGAATTTAAGGGCATTCATGAGAAGATTGAGACTGCTAGAATAGATTTAAATGATACTCAATCCCAGCTGCAGTTAGACTATTCTGATGCTTCTCTTTTGCTCCAAGAGAATGCTAAAATTGCTACTCTTAAAAAGTGGCTGCATATTAATGAATCTGCCTTGAGACAAAAATCCAGAATTCAGTGGTTGCAGGTTGGGGATTCTAATCATCAGTTTTTCTACTCTTCAGTCAAAGAGAGGACTAGAATCAATAGAATCTCTGTTATTTATAATGATCAGAATGACAAGTTAACTAGTCATGATGATATTCAACAAGAAGCTTTAAGGTTTTATGGTGGTCTTCTTGGTTCTTGTGCTCCCTCTCTGCCCATGATTAATCTTCCTATTATGAGACATGGTCCTAGGCTGTCTATTGATCAAAGAACTTTGCTTTGTGATCCTGTTTCTGATATTGAAATTGAGGAAGCTTTGATGAGTATTGATGGAAAGAAAGCTCCTGGTCTTGATGGATTGAATGCTGTTTTCTTTAAGAAAGCTTGGAGTGTCTTGAAATCTGATATTTGTTTGGCTGTCAAGGAATTCTTTGCTAAGAAACACATTCTCAGACAGGTTAATTGTACCTCTGTCACTTTGGTTCCTAAAATCTCTAATGCTTCTAAAATTAAAGATTTTAGGCCCATTGCTTGTTGCTCTATCATTTACAAAATTATTGCTAAGATCTTAACTGCTAGACTTCAGAGGATGATTGGCTACATTGTGAGTGATTGTCAAACTGGTTTTATTCCTGGTAGGAACATCTCTGATAATATTCTGCTGGCTACAGAACTTATCAAAGGTTATACTAGGAAGCATATCTAACCTAGATGCATGATTAAGGTGGATTTGAAAAAGGCTTATGACTCTATAGAATGGAGCTTTTTAAGGAGTGTTATGCAAGAGCTTGGCTTCCCTAATCTCTTTTTGGATTGGATTTTTGCTTGCCTTTCTTCTGTCTCTTATAGCATTCTCATTAATGGGAAGCCTAGCCCTCCTTTTTCTGCTAAGAAAGGTTTGAGGCAAGGAGATCCCCTCTCTCCTTTTCTTTTTGCCATTGGGATGGAATACTTATCAAGAAATATGGCTCATTTACGGCATGATTCTAATTTTAATTTTCATCCAAGGTGTGAAAAATTGAATCTTACTCATTTAATGTTTGCAGATGATTTATTGATGTTTTGCAGACACTATTTCTACTAAAATGCTTTTTCAAGCTTTTAAGCAATTTTCTTCTGCTTCTAGATTAGAAGCTAATCTGGAGAAAAGCAATGTTTATCTTGGTGGGATTGATTTAGATACCCAAAATCAAATTCTGAACAGTTTGCAGATTCCTGCTGGTACTTTTCCATTCAGATATCTGGGTGTCCCTTTGGCTACAAAAAAACTCTCTTATGCTGATTGCAAGCCTCTGATTGATAAGGTGGTTGCAAGAGCTACAGTTTGGACTGCTAAAACTCTGGCTTATTCAGGCAGACTGCAATTGGTCAAAGTAATTCTTCTGAGTTTACAATCTTACTGGTGTCAGATTTTTATAATGCCTAAAAAAGTAATAAAAGAGATTCAAAGGATTTGCAGAAACTTTCTTTGGACTGGTAATATTGTTTCCTCAAAAAAAGCTCCTGTCTCTTGGGATACTCTTTGTCTTCCTAGAGTTGCTGGGGTTGGAGTATTAAGGATATGTTGATCTGGAACAAAGCTGCTGTCTGCAAACTGTTGTGGGCTATTTCTTGTAAGAAAGATAAGTTGTGGGTGAAGTGGATTGATGCTTACTATACTAAGGGCAGAGATATCACTAGCATTAGTTGTCCTGCTAACAGTTCCTGGGCTCTCAGGAAAATTTTTGAATGCTCTCAAATCATCATTTCTGCTTCTGGTTGGGACAGATTTATCAAGAAAGGTTCCTTTTCTATCAAGGAAATGTATAAGCACTTGCATGGTGATTTTGTGAAAGTCCCTTGGAGCAGGGTGTTATGTCAAAACCTGGCTTCTCCTAGAAGTCTCTTTATCTCGTGGCTTGCTATGCATAACAGACTTCCTACTAGAGCCAGATTAACTATGTGGGGTGTGGTGGATAATAGTTCCTGCTGCTTATGTAATACTGCCCCTGAAACTGTTGGACACTTATTTTTTGAGTGTGCCTGGTCATCGCAGATTTGGACTATGGTTCTTGCTCATTTGCATTTTCAGAGAGGTCCTGGTAACTTTACTAATGAGCTTGCTTGGATTATGAAGAGTGCTAAAAAGAAGGCTGCTAAGCATCAGGTGGCACTGATGTTCTTTGCTGAGTGTGTCTATGCTATTTGGCTTCATAGAAATGATCATATCTTTAATCAAGGCTCTAAAACTGTCTCTGCTGCTCAGTTGTTTAGAGATATCAGATTCAAGGTTGCTTGCAGATGCAGAGAAGAAATGAGGAAATTTTTTTAGTCTCTTTGTGATGTTTTTGTTGTTCTTTGTTTTTTTGGCTGTTCTGACCTTTGAGTCAGTTTCTTTTGGTGTTTTGGTGTATCTTTAATTGTTTTCCTTTGGTAGTTAATAAATTTCTTTAATTGCCAAAAAAAAAGTATAAGATGGACAAAAACTTCAAAGAGAAGAGAATACGAATTTATGGTATTTTATCATACACTTTAAATATAAATTGCCATTTCATTTTTCTCATGTTTTGAATTTTATCCTACTTACACCATGGAATGCTTCTCAAAGACCGTACCACCCTCCACCACATATAATATGATTATACGAGAGTAGTGAGTTTCTTTATTATTTCAAACAAATGGGACAACTTTTTTTAGGTTACTATGTGTTGGATAAGTAGAACCGGAATTTCTTCCGGTGTTCCCTATGTTCTCACCCAATGCAGTGTTGCCCATCCCTCCTCAATGTGATGATTTGCCAAAGCAATTCCTCATTTGTTCACATGTACATTAGGTCGTATTTGTCCATAAAGTAGTTAAGATTCTCCCATAAAGCTTAGATGAAAATGATAAAGCTTTTCTATCAAACTAAACTTTCAAAATGTCCCTGTACCAGCTTAAAATTTCTGCTCTCTTTCAGAATTTATTTCAACATTAGATCAAACGATTGAATGTCTAGATGCAAACAATCTATACATACGAAGTATGACTTTTCATTGAGAAGCAAAGAGAGAAATAAGATACCATCAACTGCATCATGCGAGGAACTTGCTCGTGCACTATGGTTGATCCAAAAGTGCAGGCGCTCATCTGCTATGTCTGGTTCTAGACCATGGTTTCTAGCTCTTCTCCAGAAATAAATCAGCCAAGCCTGGTAGTACCCAAAAAAAAAAATATCCATCTATTGTTTAGAAAGGAGCAGTAAAACAAAATTTGAAAATTATGGAATGATTGAACACCCTAAAAAAGGTTACAAAAATGAAAAAGCAGAGGAGCTTCAATGAAATCCAGCTTAATTGGGCTCTCTCTGATATCTGTCTGGACAAATGGAGCTCGTGAAAGTAAGAAGAGCAATCTTCTCTGCATAACAAACACTAAGTGCCCAACACTAGGATGAGTTCAAGGGGCCAAGGCTTTTCGATAAAAAAATCTGAGAATCAAAACTATGCTAAGCCACATTTCCAAATAGAGAATCAAAATTGAGACTTCAATCATACAAAATGAGAGACAGACCCTTTCTTCATATATTTTTGAAATACTATGCAGAGTATACACCATTTTCTTAAATTCACTAGCCAAACACGCAAAAATAAGGACTAAAGACAAAGATGATAGAAAGAAATCAGGCTAAAAAAAATTTCTAATAACCTCGGTATGTTAGAATTTCAAATAAATTTGTGCATGCAATTTCTTCAAGTACTTGTTCCCAAACAACATTTGAAAAAATAACCTAGCATTATTTCTTACATGAATTTCAAACTTGTAATAGAGGTTGTGGCTAAAGTGTATGGATTACCAGACAAATTATTTTAAAGCACGCTGAATGAAAATTCTACTCCCTTTTTCCCGTTTGTATCATTCTATTTACAGAAATATATAAAGCTAAGCATTCCAGGCAATGAATAATTGCCCACAACTAAAGAACTACTACGTCATCACCAGTTATATAACCTTCTGAAAGTAATATAATACAAATGGGAAAACAAAATGGATCAGATTGAGAATACATATATGACTAATATGAGGCTGGATACTACATCCTCTGTTTCACTAAAATTGCAACAGTTGCTGATTTGGATGTTACAGAAAAATTGCAACACTGCTCTTTTTGATAACTTTTACAACTTAACCCATATAATTTACCCATACAGTCATACTTGACCCATTTACTTTCAATATTCTTAATTTTTGTATAATCACATAGGTTAGTGACCCCAATTGCTACCTCTCTCCTCTACCCTAATATATTGTGCCACTTGTGAATGTTGCAATTTCAGTGAAACAAGGAAGTATTAGGAAAGAAAAAAGGTAGCTGCAATTTCCATTCATTACAAAGAACAAGTACTAACTATATGTATACACAAATATGGATTGAAGAAAAGCTTGGTAATGTTACATCATACCTGCTTAAATTGCACTTCTTCAGTCTCCTCTTGACTCAGATCTGAAATAAGCTCAGACTTGGATAATTAATTACAGACATAAATTAAGAATAAACTGACAATTTAAATCATGCCTCTTTTCTCCATTTGTTTCTTGATTCCTACCTAGTGCTACACCCTGCAAATCATTTTCTTCATATCATTAACTCCCTTTATCTAAGTCATTTTTGACCTCCCTTAAATCCTTTTTTGAAATACATTGTCCCAATTCCTTGCTAGTGCATCCTCAAGGATGTCTAACATTCCCAAACCAATGTAGCCAGTTCTCCCTTATCAATCCTAAATATCCGTACATCAGCTTTTGCTCAAATATTTACATTCCTTATTTTATCCCTTAGGGGGTTCCCACACATCAATCTCAACATACGCATCACTATTATACTCGTCTTCTAAATATGCTCCTTCCATAAACATTTTGACCCACACAATAATGCCTATCTAACTGCCATCCTATTGAACTTTTCTTTCATCTTAAAAGGCACACAACGATTGCATAATAACCCAATCACTTCACTCTGATCCACTAAAGAGTTAAGACACCCAAACTTAGTTAGTTTCATGAGTTACATCCAGGCTGGTATCTCCATTCCTTTCCAAAATGAATCCTAGATACATATGACATTCTCTAATAGTTTGTCTCCTTACAAGAAAATTTATAGCAAAATTGAAAATAGGATTGGGAAGTTGAGGATGGATGAGAGGAAAGTAAATAAGAGGTAAGAGGGAGGAAAATGTGGTTTCCCTTCTTTTGTACATGAAATGTTTTCTACCATAGAGAGTATAATTTTCCACCCCTTCACAAACCAAATAAAGGAAATGAGGAAAATGGGAGAATTATTTTCCATGAAAACATTTTATGTCAAACCAAACACATCCTAAACCTAAAACCTCATGATTCTAACTATTGTCTCCACGCTCCAACTTAGCATTAACTCCAGCTCTGTTCTCATCAAACAACACTAGTCATCTGCAAATAGTAAACACTCGTACACAGAAAACCATGTCCACACCTATCCAATGGGTATCCTGTAGCCACCAGCATTAATGTAGAGGTACTGGTGACAAACCTTTACAATTCCTTTTTAGACAGACTGACAGGCAAAAATAAATATAGATCATAGAATAGTGGCCTTATTTTGAAGGTTTCCTACTTCTTTGAATCCTTAGTTTTTATAACATCACAAAATAAATAATACTCGCCTTCATACTGTTCGTCAAAAATATGTTTGCAACAAATTATATATAATTTTTCTACTATGGAAGTCTGATATATAGGAGAAATTTACTTCATGGCTACATGGGTTGAGTAAAAAATGTGAAAGAAAAAACTTGCAATATGTTTATCAATTCTCTAAGGATTAGAATTTCAATGGATAAAATATCTGTAAAGATGCAACTCACCAAACGCTTCTGCAAATTTCATACTCGGAGATCTCGAGTCATCTGTAAAGTAAAGTGGGAAAATTGTTCAGTAAAAATGATCTGGAACAATCATGAAATATTCTGCATGGCAAACTAGAGTAAAAAAGCACCAGCTTTACATGAAGTAAACTCTTGAGAGGAGTCATAAGCTAACCTGGTATAATAAGACACAATCTAGTGACAGTTTCAAATGTGCTCTGTCATAAGTTAAGCTGGTCTAATAAGACACAATCTAGTGACAGTTTCAATTGTGCTTGTGGGCAATCTCTCAGAGTAGAAGTTGCCATTATTTGTCAGAAAGCAACATATTATAGAGAGTTGGTTCCCTTCAAGGTCAAGCAAAGAACTATAAGGGAGAAGACCTCTCTGGTCTCCTTTTGATCGCCAAACGTCTATTCAATACCAGTATACACATCATCCAAAGACATGGAATAAAACTTAGATATAACATCTCATGTTGCCTAACATGGCCTTATTAGAGATACTTTAATAGTGAATGCCAAGACAAACCCTATTCATCAACTCCATTCAACCAAATACTAAAAGGCACATATATTGTACCTGGTGTATACTTTAGGGTTTAGTATTAGTACTATGGTCATCAAAAATCAACCTAAACAATTTTGATTTTTACATAAAAACACAATCACCCACATAAATAAGCCCACTTTTGGCTTGTGTTTGTTTTGGGCTCTAATAATGTATTTCCCTTTGATGGTTTGACCCTTCCAAGAAGACAGGGAGGGAGTCAAGGGAGGAAGATAGGCTCCAGATGTTATGTTGACGCATAATGTTTTAGCCCATTTAGGTTTTTTTTTTTTTTTTTTTTTGGTGGATTGATGGTGTTTGGTGATGTATCATAACTTCATAAGCCCTTATATTGGGAAGAAATAAAATTTTATTTGACAAAGAAAAAAAAAATCATAAAACAAAAAATGTGATAAATTCTTCAAATTTGGTCCCTATGATGGACCAGTTACAAATGATTTACCATCTGAGTACGTTTTTTATTTACAATCTTTGAAATATAACCATCAAATGCTTCACAATAATAAGAGCCAGCACAATTTATTGAGTAGCTTTTGTATAAAAACCCAGCATGTACCAGGGACATGCCCTTGTTTTAACGTGCATGTGAGCACTTTAGGCATGACATTAGTCTCTTTGTTAAGTGGTCACTGAGGTGTAATAACAACTAAGCAATAACATCACAAATGTGCTTAATGCATGAAAAGAAGGAGAACAGCAATAGTTTGCAAACCTGTAAAAACAGGTTTCTTCATATTTCTCCGTCTATGCTGAGCCATTGCAACCCTGATGGCATCTTCCACCTTCAAGGAAATCAAATAAAAATTTACGCTTACAATAACAGCTAATCTCTTCTGCGTCCCATAATAGAAAATAAAAACCAGCTCAAACTCAGCAAATGTCTAGTTTTGCAGGCAGAGAGCATAAAAACAAGGGATGCCTCATCTCATAGAAATAAACATGCATTCAAAGGATCAAAAGTCTATACAATTTCTAATAATTATACGAGCAGGAAATAAAAAAATGCACAAGTATAGTAGAGTTTCAGAATTAGGAGTAGTTCTAATGAAAAATATGGCATCAACCTTAAGTACAGATAGTTCCCTCAGACCTCTCTCTACCATTAGCATGCTCTCAGCGCTTCCCTCTCCTGAAAGTTCACTGGCTTCACGGATTGTCTTTTCCCTTTTCTCATCATTGTTAGCTGCACATAAGTAGACAGTGGATTGATTAAAATGCGAGGAATTTTTTTACATA